GAGCTGCTCTGGAAGCTCTTCTTGCACTGATCACACTCGTAGGGTCGTTCCCCAGTGTGGCTCCTCTGGTGGTAAATCAGGTGGGACTTGTAAATGAAGCTCTTCCCGCACTCCCCACACTCGTGGGGCTTCTCCCCGGTGTGGCTCCTCAGGTGGTAAACCAGGGTGGAGCTGTTGGTGAAGCTCTTCCCACACTGCGGACACTCACGGGGTCTCTCCCCAGTGTGGATGTGCTGGTGGACGATGAGGGCGGAGTTGCTTTTGAATCCCTTCCCACACTCACGGCAGCGGAACGGCCTCTCCTCGGTGTGGGTGCGCTGGTGCTTGAGGAGCTCAGAGCTGCTCACGAACCTCTTCTGGCACTCATCACACTCGTAGGGCCTCTCCCCGGTGTGGTTCCTCTGGTGGACAGTCAGGTGGGAGCTTGAGGTGAAGCCCTTCCCGCAGTCCCCACACTTGTAGGGTCTCTCGCCGGTGTGGAGGCGCCGGTGGGTGAGGAGGTGGCACTTGCGCCTGAATCCCCTCCCGCAGTCAGGACAGCGGAAGGGCCGCTCCTCGGTGTGGATGATCTGGTGAATACGAAGAGTGGTGCTGCTCTGAAACGTCTTCGTGCACACCTCACACTCAAAAGGCTTCTGCCCCGTGTGCATCATCTGGTGTTTAACCAAGCAGGAGCTGGTCAGGAACCTCTTCTTGCACTGATCACACTCGTAGGGCTTCTTCCCAGTGTGGATGGTCTGGTGCAAGATGAGGGCAAAGCTGTCCCTGAAGCCCTTCCCACAATCAGGGCAGCGGAACGGCTTCTCCCCACTGTGGATCCGCTGGTGCATGCGGAGATCAGAGCTGGTCCGGAACCTCTTCCGGCACTGATCACACTCGTAGGGCCTCTCCCCGGTATGGATGCGCCGGTGCTTGTGAAGTTCACCGCTGCTCTGAAACCTCTTCTGGCATTGCCCACACTGAAAGGGTCGTTCCCCCGTGTGGCTCCTCTGGTGGACAGTCAAGTGCGATCTCCTAGTGAAGCTCTTCCCACATTCCGAGCACTTGTGGGGCTTCTCCTCCCCACCCTGGAGCTGCTCATGGACCCCCAGCTCTGAGCTCTGACCCTGCTCGAGGCTGGGTTTTTCCCCCTCAGATCCCCTGTGGGTTCTCTGGTGCACAATCAGGCAGGATCTGCTCTTGAAGCTCTTCCCACACTCGGAGCACTTGTGGGGCTTCTCCTCCCCACCCTGGAGCTGCTCACGGGGCCCCAGCTCGGATCTCTGAGCCCCTCCATGGCCCAG